TTAACTAGTGATGGCATGTGAGGTGCAGTGATGCTTCTGTTGCCAGAGAAACAGAGAGCAAATATTTTAATCGATGCAAGTGACACCAAAACACTGAAATATGTGATGCAATGTAGTCCAGTACATACCGATTGTATAAGAACTGGTGAAATATTGGCACTGGGGTTTGGTAACCAATTCTATTTATGGTACAGCCCCTCCCTATCTTTGTGACCTCATAATAATGTCATAATGTCATAATAATGGGCAGCGTGTGGCTCAGTGGGCTAAGCTGTGTGCCTGTAATCACAAGGTCGCCGGTTCAAGCCCAGCCTCAGCATGTCTGCGGGTCCTTGAGCAAGACCCTCAATCCCCAGCTCCCTGGGTGTCCCAACAGGTGGCTGCCCTTCGTGGACAGCTTGCTCTACAAAGAGCAAGTTGAGGGAGGCGTAAAAACAATTTCCCCACGGGGATCAATAAAGTACCAATTATTATTATATCAGCTAACTGCATGCTGCATCAACAACCACGCAGTAAACTATATGGATGCCAAAACTTTTGCAGATGTCACTGTTGTTTTGGCTTCAACATCTATTTTATTTAAGTGTCCGTCTTATTTTTAATAAATAATGTGTACAAATAGGATTCTAAGTTATGATGTAGAAAAGGTAGATTTCTGTTTAGAATTATGCAACAAAAATACAAGAATAACCCTGTTACTAATTCATCCATAAAACCATTTTCTGTACCCGCTGGTCCTATGCAGGATGGCAGGGGTCTGAAGCCTATCCCAAAAGCTATGGGCGCAAGGCAGGGAACAACTTAGGGTGGGTTCCCAGTCCATCACAGCATTCCTAGACCATGTGCCCAAAAGCTGTGCAGACCCTTTTTGAGGGATGTGCAGACTAATGATGTGCATCTCCATCACTGAGGTGATGTGATACACATCTCGATGCATCGCCAATGATTCACTACATTAAAGACACATATGAAGCCACTTCTATTGTGATACAATACAATTCACTACTATTGCGATGCAGTGCGATTCGACATGATACGATGCATCGCTGGACATGCCTCCAACTCCTTGAGATTTGCAGAGAACTGGCCACAAAAAATTGGTCAAAAATTATTGGTGACATTGGTGCCACTTTACAATAAGGCTACCTATATAAAGAGTTTATGAATAGTTTATAATGTGGTTATTCATAAGGTTGTAACACTTTGTAAATTATTAATAGACAATTTTAAACAAGTTATGACAGTTTTCTTTATATTAATGAGTTACTACCATTTACAAGTGGCAACAGGGAGCCTTATTGTAAACATATGAACATTCATATCGTCATCAGTGTATAATATCGTGCTAAACATTTGTTTTCTTACATAATAGTTATAATACACTATTTATACAAATTCCATCAAGGTATGAGTCAGTTGCTGGCACCCTTGCCATTATACCTGTTGCCAGCAGCTTTCATAACTGACTGTCGTTATTATAAATTGATCACGCTGATTTAAACTCTTGGTGTGTAAACCTTGTAGTTGCCCGCAGGCATCTTACGTTAGCAAGATAAGTTTGGTGATAATTCATGCAGCTAGCGAATTATTTACATAAAAACCTACTAGTTGGGGTTGCAATAAGTTATCGTATTGACCAGTAAACGACAAGAAACATAAATAATACAATCAACAAAAATCTGCTGCCAAGTCAATCAGTACTTGTACTGATCGCTTGCTCCATTTTGATCGCGGTTCCCGAAGAGAACTCTATCGGCAATCTATGGCTCATCCTGCTAGTCCCGGATGTAGAGGGTTGAATTTCGGATCGTATTTTAAGCCACTGAAATTGTGGCAGCGTATTTGAAACAGCGAAAATAACGGGACTGAATATTGTAAAGCAGAAATAAGAGGACTGAATGTTACTGCTTGAATAATAAAGATGCGAATAAAACACATGGAATATTTTCAACTGAATTTGTTCTTTTGAAATTTATTTTGAGGCGAAATTAAATGAACTGAATTCATGTGGTTGAATTATAAACATGCACTTTAAAATACGTATCTTTTGGAACTGAATTTTGGAAGCCGAATATTTTTGTACTGAATATTTAAGCAATGAAATTACGATTGAAATGTTTTCAGTTGAAATGTTCAATGTTTAAATGTATGCACATATTAAATTACAGTCCTCAAAAATTCAAACCGTCATTAATGCAATGCGTTTTTATTCGATAGTGTAATTCAACGTGTTTTTTTTTCATCAGCGACTTATGTTATTAATTTACTTCCATATTTAACTCACTATTCTACATTAACAGATCGGATTTTGCCAATGCAAAGATTTTAGAAACAATGCATCCTGAGTTAATCTCAAATTGTACACACTTTTTTAAATTGGGCCAGTCGCATCAATGAACTTTTATGTCGGTGCACCTATGCAAATTGGTGAATCTATGCAAACAGGTTGTTAGCTGAAAAAAGAGGTGCAAGAAGGAAGTGCAGAGCATTCCTGCAGAAAGCAGGTGAGAAATGTCGTGGGTTGTGAGGACTGGACAAATAGGGAAAAAATAAAAATACAGTCCCATATAACAGTATCTTTGTCAGAACGCATTACACATGATTTTTGGTCCAATAAATGTATTAAACCCTTTTAATTTAATGCTATGAGGATGAGTAACTTCAGGGCATCGGGTGAAACTAGATGCCAAATGTCAGAACGACAGCAATGTATCCCCCTGACCTTATTTGTAAAAGTATTACAGTATGCCAGATCTGTGCCTGTAGCTGTGGGGGAGGGGTGTTCTCCCATGATAAGTTTCACTAATTTACAGATTAGCCAAGTAGTTGGGGAAGGGGGGGTTACATGCGGTGAATTTCATTGACTGCCAATAAAATTTACTGATGGAGTGGCAGTGAAAGAAAAATCAGTTTGAGAGCCACTGACCTATGAAATGCTTGACCAGGTGCTTGACACCCATACAGCGTGTGTCTGCCACGTTTGAAAAATACTTTTTGAGTTATGTTCACAAGGTCACCCTTCCCTTTGCTGCCACTAAGCAGCATTGCTTTGCAAAATTTAACCAATACCACATCTTCACCCATACAATGTATGAACAAAATTTCCATCAAATAATTTTTGAGTTATTATGTTAATGAGAAAGTGTCCTTGCATGCACATATTTTTTGATCTTCTAAGATTTTCATTGTCTCAATTTGCAGCATGGACTGTATCTGTGGGTCACAAAGTTATACTGTGCCACTAATATACAAACAGGAAATGTTTGCCAGGATTCTACTCAACAGCTGTAGTCTTTTCAAATGAAGTCTGATGAAGCATTCCGTTAAAATGGCCCCACTTCAATGTAATCAGGCACAGAGAAATGGAGCCAGATGACCATTTACTACTGTTTGTTATGACTCCCTATCATCTCAATATAACTTACTGGAAAAAAAGAAAAAAACAAGCAATTCAAAGTAAGTACCCAGTTCATTTAAATGTTTTGTACAGTAGTCAGGAAAAATCCAAGGAAGTACATAACCACTGGAATTGAAGTGGAAATCCCTTCTCAGTGTTTGACTGTGAAACTTAGAACTGTGCACGCGGCAACCTTGAGATTTTAGTCAAAGGAAGTTTCCATGACAACTAGGTCTTTTTCCAAAGGCAGCATTAGCTGCTAATTTTCAAAGCCAAGCCACACTCCTTAAGGTGTGACAAAGTGCTGAAAGATATTATTTGCGTTTGCCATTGCACTTTGGGCAGTGGGCAGATACTGTTACCGCCTGGGCTGGAAGCCAGGCAGTTTTAAAGATAAAATTTAAAGGGTAAGAGGATGCCTCCAGTCACAGCGGCAAAGGAAAGGTAATTAACTTTGATTTTATTCTTGTTTTCTTTTAATGTAAATGAATAAACTGTGGACTTTACCCTTCATCCTCAAAACAAACCTGACAAAGAAGAAAAATGAACATCCAGAATTCTTTAAGTCTGGACACTTATTTTACTGGAAGAATCAGTATTGCTTATGTACAGTAATGGTAGAATAAAGACCCATCACATTCACAATCATTCCTATTCTGTCATCTCTCCCCAGGTTCCATTCCTTCCCTCTGCTGATTTATGTAATCTTTAAGAAGTAAAAGATGCATAAGAAGATCCAGCAATCTGTCATAAATTTATTCCCAGAGATCCAGTAGTCAATAAAATGTAAACAAGCATGAATGTGGCAATCACCTTGACTTTTTGCATAATACAGGATATTTTCTCTGAAATGACACCCTGCACTATATTTGGCTGTCTGCAAATTAAGGTTCAAGAATTGTATCTGGATATACAGCTAGATGAAACCATCAGTAGAAAGAATGTATACTAATCAAAAAATGTACTAAGGCACTACATCCTAATTTATAACACCAGGGATTGCTCTCATAGAGCTTTAGTGTTGAACAGAAACAACTCAGATCAGCTTAACAATTCCTTCTTTTTAACAGCACATAAATAACTCCTGATGGCTATTCCATTAGAGGCACATGGGAGGAATTTTATCATTACTGTACTGTGACAGTCATCGGTTTCCATGACAGCAATGAGACGGAGTCCAGTTAACCTCTGCCTGGGCCACTATGACCAGCAGCAGGATCGTTTATTCATTAGCACTAAATCAGAATAACCTTCTCTGGCACACTTTAGTAGAAAACTGTGGTAGGAGATAAGCAGTTGTGTCATTTCATTCAGGAGAATTAACATATATCACAGATGATATCTCATTTGCTAAAATAAAATAAAGACCCATTTCCCCTTCTTTTCAGGTATCATAAATAGTTAGGTTTAAATAAGGCTAAAATAATCTAATTTAAAGGAAGAGTTCAGGAAGAAATGTGAGAAACTCGTGTAAGTGCTATGTCACCTTAGACCTTGCAGCACTTGGACAGATGAGGCATTGCTTAGTGTACATACTGTATACGGATAAAGAGCCATGGAGTCCTGCAGATTACAGTACAGGCTGATGGATGGAGAGCCTCACCTTTCTCGCAGTGTCGTCCAGTAAAGCCAGGAGGACAAAGGCAGGTGTTAGGTGACACACAGGTCCCCCCGCTGCGGCAGCCTTCCTTACAGAATGCTGTGGGCGGAAGAGAGGAAACATAAGCACCAATAATATTTATTTACTCAGTAATCTTCTGAAAAGACTGGAAAAGAATAAATGAAAAACAGAAGCTCTGCTGTCATATCAGCTTGCATCTGAAATAAAAAAAAAAATGCAGTACATTGACATTGGCATGTTTTGCAAATCTCTTTATCCTCTATTGCTTTGATTCTCTGACTAGTTGCCTTACATTGGTCACTTTGTTGCATATGCATTAATTGTTCAATTGTCATAGGCAGAGTATCAAACAAACAGGAAAATCCCAGATTCCTGTTACACATCCAGTTACAGATCACATCTATCACAGAATATGCCAGATCAGAGTGGCACAATAATGAAAGTCTTTAGGCACTGTTGTGAGTGACATAATTTTATAAATATTATTCAGCAGGCCCTTGAAAAGCACCAAACAAACAAATGAAAAAGTAGATAAACTGTAAGCTGTAATACCAAAATCCATTACTGAGTAATTTGACCAGTTCCCATATCTGACAGCCTATATAAAGCGCTAATCAGGAGACTGACCAGTTCTGCACTGATAACACGAGGACTTTGAAAGTAATTACAGCTATATCGCTTGAATTAACCTATTTTTTTCCATCCATCCATCCATTGTCCAACCCGCTTATCCTACTGGGTCACGGGGGGTCTGGAGCCTATCCTGGAAGCAATGGGCACGAGGCAGGGAACAACCCTGGATGGGGGGCCAGCCCATCGCAGGGCACACTCACACACCATTCACACCTAAGGGCAAATTAGCAACGCCAATTAGCCTCAGCATGTCTTTGGAGGGAAACTGGAGTACCAGGAGGAAACCCCACGACGACACGGGGAGAACAACAGTGCTAACCACTGCACCACCATGCCGCCCCCTAACCTATTTTTATGATTATCATTTTACGTCCATCACTGCAAACCTTGGCTTGTTGCATTAATGATATTAGTTAAGTCTAGCATTCCACCTGCAGTTTGGTTTTCCATTCATCCATCCATCCATTTTCTAAACCTTCCCAGCATATAAACATAGGTCAGGGGCTTTTGTGCAGACTCCAAATTACCTGAGTCATCCTGTGGTAGAAGGTACAGAGGTGTCTGGGAAACATCACACGAAGGATGGTACCTAGGGACTAATCTAGAAAATCTACTATGACGCCTGGCAGTTAAGCTTAGAGTTCACCTGCCTCTTCCATTAAGATTTAACTCCATTCATTTGATTGCTGTCTAGCAGTCAGCAGCAAGGTTTATTATGATATATATTAGTGACCATCTCCTGAGGATGATTCATATTCAACATGAGAGACTTGCAGACTTGGTGGTACATCTTTACATCTTTGTATAGCTATGCAAAGTTATACATAAAATACATATATATTTAAAGAAAATTAAAATTGGAATACATTTAGTTACTGATCTTTTTTTTTCTTTTTCATATAGTCAAGATTAAAGGTAATTGACAGTACTATCAAAAGTGTCCAAATCAGACCTTGCCAGAGTTCATCTCCACTTCCTTCAATGTTAACCTTTTTATTTTTAATTTCAGAAAATGCATTAAAAGATTCAAAGTGAATTGTTTAGTAAAAGGTCAGTTTTGTACTAAAAATTATGTTTTTTCATCAGCTCGAAAATTAATTTACATTAGTAGCGCTGACCTCACACTCATTTCTTGATGGATGAGATATTCCTAAGTGATTTCTGCCACATGTTTTTGTATTTTGACTTGTTTCACTTACTGTATTGCTGCTTGAGGTAAAACTTGTGTAAGAAGCAATCCGTGAATAACTTGATATTTTAATGCATCTTCACAGGGACATTACAAATGAATAAGCAAGAATATTATTTATAGTGATAAGCCTTTTTGATGCATTTTTAAATTTCATTTACCTGTTATGTTTAAAAAAAAATTACCTATTTAACCACATGATATGTACAATACCCACATCAAATAAAAATTACTTTTTGATCACATGTTTTATTGCTTTAAAGAGGTAAAACAACATAATGACAAATAAACATATTGACCCCCCCCATCTTCTGAATGTCATTTTATAAGCATAACTGGTCAATGTGTGCCTGAGTGCAAGCAACAATTACATTACTTATGCTGTACATATAAAAGCAGTCCGTGACAGGGTGCTATCACACTGTTGTGTTGTTAAAAGGTGTGACCCCCTCCATATTTCCCCTGCTTTGTGTTTCTGTGAGCAGGATTCATTCATGATTGTTTGTTGTGCTGCATCCCTTAAAGGATGGGGAATGACCACACTGATGTATGTAAAACCCCACAGGGGCTGCAGTCAGATGTTCCAGGAATTTAACAGTTTATAAGAGAGAAAACCCATAGAAAAAACAATGGCAGTTCAAAATAAGACATAAAAAAAAGTTAAACAGAAGTTTTGTACTGTGAAATTTTTCTCAAATTAACAGTTGCTGAAAAATTCTGGTCAATGTAAACAATACTTTAATGTTATGTAGGGTTATGCAGATAATAGCTGAATGAAGCAGTTTATGGACATTGCCCATGATCATACAGTACATGCTGCTTTGGAAGACCCAAAATACGTACTCGATGTAGTAATAGCTGAAAATAGCCTGACTAGTCAGTAACCTCTAGCATCCGGAGGATATTTGTGGCAGTGGGACGAAGGTGAGCGAGGCTGCAGCAGAGGGTGACAGCTGTGTGAATGAGCAGCCCTCTCATTAAGGTGTCTGTGCTCCCAGAAGCCCCCGTTCAGCCTGCAACTAGGTCGACTGGTCAAATTCGGGTGTCATATCACTTCACCACCGAAAACAACGACCGTACCAAATATAACTGAGCCGCCTTTCAGTCAGGAAAGTAATCCAGCGTCCAGTTAGACTGGTTTCTTCTCTGAGCAGAAAACAGAGCAATAACCATGCATGACTTGATCAAGGTCGACATAAATCATACTAAATTGCAATACTTGTCAACATACTCCACATCAGAGGTATCAGACCTCAATTAAAGTTTTCCTCTACATAGGTTGCATACAAAAGTTCATTTAAGGAGAAATATTTTAAGGATCATTATTTTAGTCAAGTGTCTCTGCGGGGTGCTGTGGGAGCTTTAAGTTAAAACAACTTACCAGTTACCCAGTTCAGAACTTCCTATTGAAATTCAGCTGGACATGCTTGTTCTTGCATATTGTACTAATAAAAAACCATTGAGAATATTTCTTTATGGGGGCAAAATGTGAAAATGCAGAAAATTCAGCACCTTGCTATATAAACCACAAAACATAAAATATAGCACAATGTTTCTTAGACTGCTCCAGGACAAAAAGTTGGCAATATACTAATCGTATTTTACCTTTTACAGTTTTTAATAAAAAAGGAAAGGTCTTTATAAGACCTTGAACAACATTCAAAAGATAGTCAACTGTGCCACACCTGTAAATTTCCAAATGTTATGAACATTCAAACCCTTGGAAGAAAAGCAGGGCATCATTATTCCACAACAACTGGTTCTGTAGCCACTAAAAATATCAGTGGTCTTTGCTATTAAACTCCAAGAGTTTAATTTATGTTATACATCATGTTCTGCTTATTAAATAAGGAAATTACAGATTTACCAAGCCAACTCAAGCAGGAGAGACACATAAAAATGATTCCACCCCTTATGAGCAACTCAAATTCACCGGGCTTGTTCTTCCAGGCACATCATTAGCATTGATATCAGGTATTTCTTTCTGCTGATATCTGTGCAATTGGTATGAGTTAATTTTATAAGAACTGAAAATGTATGTGTCCTTACTAGGTTGAGATCTAAGTCAAGCTTACATTCCTGCTGTCATTGGCATGGTATGTCATGCTAAAGACTGAGGAAATGTACAGAAGTAAAGCATGATATAATTTGGAGCAAATACCTTCAGAATTCTGGGTTGAATAGGAAAGAATACATTCACTCCATTTAAATGAAAAAAAGTATTAAATTCTTTAGTTGTATTAACTTTTCTAAATTGTATCAAAGGCCACAGGATTAATCGCTCCATAAGTCAAAGTCAAAATAACACTGATTGACAAAAGTGCTGTACAGGATCACCAAAAAGAAAGGAGAAAAAAAATGAAAAAGGAGTGTAAGAGAAGATAAAAGTCTGCATTCAACCAAGCTGCCACTTCTCTTTGAGGAATCTCATTCATTTGTACTGCTTCAAGTTGACTTTTCTATCCTTTGACTTTGTTAAAGAAAACGAGAACACTGAGAATTTCCCCCTGCCTGTAAAGCACAGATGGCACGCTTTGTAGAATGTTAATTTCAGGTGGTGTATATAGCACCTCATACATTATGAGCAACAGCAGTTACAAGTTATATACTAAATATACATTTAGAATTATTTGTTCTCCAGCCATGATACTTCACTTCACAAGATTTTTCATTTTACCCCACTGCATTAACATTGGAAAAAATGTGTATATTTAAATCAAACGGTGAACTTCAATGAATACTTCTGAGTTGCCAGGACAGCATGGATAGAAGGTGGTAGAAAACTGTAGGAATTGCTGACCCTGTAACCACAAGACCACTTCTAATCGGTACGATCTGATGAAAGTAGCTTGCTCCTGTAGACATTCTAGAGAATTAAAGGAGAACTCAAAAATGTATTCATTTTCCAGCATTTTGTAATTATTACTGAGACGTAAACGTACCCTTGAGTATGCTTGTTGTGTTTTTATAGCTAATCTAGCGTTTTTTGTCATGGTTTCTCACAATGTGATTCACAGTCATAAGTTGTGTTTCCCAGAGAGTAGTTTTGCATTATTTAGACCTGATTACTTTTCCATAAATCCAAGGATTTGTGTGGAACCAATGATTAAATTAAGACCAAGGGAAGAATTATTGCTGTTTTAAAACATATGTAAAAATAAAGGAATGTTGAAGTGGTAAGCTGACGAAAGACAAATTCCAGTAAGCCTTCCTGTTTATCCTCTACGTGTCAGACATCCAGTACAGCATCAGTTCT